ACTGATCAAGTTTAGGATGCACCTGCTTGGCTCAAAGCCGTTTGTGATCTACACAGAACATGCGACATTACGCCCTGCGACTCAGTCGCCAAAACTCTCGCTGAGGACGGCCAGGTGGCTCCCCTTTTTTGCTAAAGTCAACTTCGATGTGAAGTATAAGCCAGGAAAGTAGAATTTTTTAGCTGATGCGTTGTCACGCAGACCAGATTATGAGCTTGCGCATGTCGCGACGGTGGCGTCGTCCGTGACGGATTTGATCCGCGCCGCGTACGCGGGTGATGATATGTGCTTAGCGCTCTCGAGAGCAAGATGTTTGGAAACTCGGGCAAGAAGTTGTCGTCGCGACTGCGTGCACGAATGCACCGATATTTGTTAGATAACATATTGCTGTATGATAGCATCCACTCGACGGATACGCCACAAATTGTGGTTCCTTACGATGAGGATTTAAAGTGCAGGATTCTCTATGAGGCCCACGACACCTCACTCAGTGGTCATCTTGGTCGTGAGAAGACGGGCAGCTCTGTTAGTTGCCACTACTGGTGGCCCAAGCAGTACAAATGGACGAACACATATGTGCGCATGTGCTAGGCGTGTCAAAGGGTGAAGCTCTCTTCGAATGCCAGTTTTCCGGTACCCTCCGGGAGTTGGTAGTCCATGAGTATGGACTTCTTGTTTGGCCTGCCGAAGGACTTGGCGAACAACACGAGCATGGCGGTCTTGATGAACCGTTTGAGCAAGATAGCTCATCTTGCAGCGGTGCCGGACACCATCGACGGTGTGGGTACAAGGACGCTGTTTGTCGATCGTTTCTTTCGACATCCGGAGTCAATTGTCTCTGACAAAGACCCATGATTAACTGGAAAGGTCTGGTCGACAATATTGAGTGTCATTTAACACGTCCGCAATGCGATAGCTGATAGCCAAGACATACAGAAAGAATATGCAGACGGAAGAAGCAGAAGAATTGCTGGAACCTTTGAGGTCGAGAACTTGGTTTTATAAAACTCGAAAATACCTTCATAAACATGCAGCTTCTGCTGTCTTTAGAGCGAAGCTCCGTCCATAGTTTATCGAACCTTTTAAGGCCGTGGCCAAGCGGGGCCTTGCATATACGCTAAACCTTTCGAGAAGAATGAGCGCCCACCCGATGTTTAGTGTGGGCGCACACAGGCGCTCGACCACCCAGTAGCTGAACCAGCAACTGTTTTGAGCATGGAGTGCAACAGTTTCCATTTTCAACCGCGCCCGACGCTCCACCGTCGCACGAAGTGACGCATTCATCTTCTCAACGGCTAGGAGCCGCTCCAACACAGCACGATAAGTGAGGCAGTCGGTGCACAAAGTGCTCCGAGATCTCGAGGTCTTCCGCACAGCGATATGAGACCTCATCATGATGCTCAGCGGAGCCCCAATGGCGACGGACCTAGCCCTTAAAAGCTCGAAGAGCATTGTGAGTCACCGAACAGCGATTGCCAAGTCGTCATCGTCCGCCACCGACTCTTCTCGATGAGAATGGTTACATCTACTATCACGTGGTTCGCCTTGTGGGTCGACTTCGTCGACAGGGTCGAACTCACTATCTTGTGAGGTGGCGGGCTTTTCAAACTCCGAGAACCTGTGGGAGTTTGAGGTGCCACTTCGGCAAGACTTCTCAGACGTCGTGAACGCTTATGATCAGAAAGAGCCTGATGCTCCGCGTCGTCGTACGCTCCGCGCTTTCTGGCAATAGCTGGGGCCGAAGGGCCATGAGCTGAGCACAAGCTATGACTCTGAGCTGCTGTGGTCGCAGACTCATCTGTGTGAGAGACCACAGAGCTCGCTCAAGCGTGATGGATTAATACATACGTCGCAGGGCGATATTACGAAAGACGTCGGTGTTGCGCCTCGAGTTTGGCAAACTCGAACCGGACACGCGCGCGTCCACCTCCTTATGGCTCCGTGGTAAGTTAGACAGCAAATAAAGTTTCCGGTGCAGCTGCACCCATCGCTGAAATAGCTCTTCATCCTCTGCAGCGGTTATGTCAGGGGCAAGCACCACGGGGATGGTCCGCATTGCAGGTGCAAGAGCACCTCCTCTTTGAGCGCAAAGTCGAGCACGGTAACTATCTATTGAGACTTCTTGAGTTACCAAGAAGCGAACTCGGAAAACTTTTCGTTGGTCAAGCTCGACTTGTGTAGTGGCAGAGGACCTGACTATGCAGACGGCTAACAATTGAGTGATCGAGTTTTCCGCTTCAGTAGCGGGAACCGCAGAGTATTCCACACGACCAACCGTGGGTGTGAGTGCATGAGAGCCGTCCTGTGGGCAGCCTCGGACTGCTGCTCCTGCGCCTCATCGAGGCAATTAGTATTGATTACTCTTCCTTCGGAAGTCAAGAGGTCGGGAAACGGACATGGTGTCCGCAAGGTTCGCGCAGGGCTCACGCCGCGCCATTGGTGCACCTCGCTCTCCTCTTCTTCCCATCCTGGGAAAGGAGTATCCGACTCGTAGTCGAATTCTTCCAGATTGTCAACGTGGTATTCAGTCGCCCGTAATGGGCGCGGTTTGCGGTGCCCCGTTGTCGGGGATTTGGGGTGCCATTTCCTTGAAGCCGCGAAATCAGGAATTCTTCTAGGCATACCTGCTAAACCTAAGGACGTACTGTCCAGAGTTGCACTGTGTGCTGGAGACGAAAAGGGTACTGCCTACGGGCGCTTTTGGAACCAGCAAGGCTGGGTGTCTTTTGTGTCAGAGACACAGGGATCCTTGAGCAGAGAATGTGTAAAGAAGGTCCTGGAGACATAATAGACATCTTAGACACGCGCGCCTCGTAAGAGACGAAAGTTTAATGTGCTATGTGGGTATTCACGATTTTGATGAATGAGAGAGTAACGGGAATACACGTCCCTGGTATGAAAGGTTAGGTCACACAACATGGTGTGACCACACAATGGTGTGGCTACAACGTAACACGATGCCACTATGTGGCGGGACAGCATGCCTTTTAATTAGGTTTCACTATTTAATCTGGAAAACATAAAAAATGGTTATAGGTGGCTCTGCCGCGAGAAAAACAAAAGAAATACAGTTTGGATTTTAAACGGAAGAATGTATTTGACTTGGGTTGAGGTTCTGGGTACTCTTGGAGCTAAAGGATCGCGATCCGCTACAATCATTCTGGTTCTAGTATAGACCGTAAGGTCGGTGACCTTAGCTTAGCTTCTTTTATGCAAAGAGCTACGGCAGTCCCGCTGCACTACACATCGAAGCGTTTGTGGATCCAGCTCTAGCGGGGTCAAGCTACACTCTCAACTCCCCGATAAAAATGCGGGCGCATCCTGTGCTTGGACGGTGTCGAAGATTACCACGGCCCAATCTAACGAGTCAGTTAAACGGGAGAAACTATTTTCGAGACATACTTAGTTTTTAATCGTCTTCAGAGCTGGATCGCCTTCCGCTCCCGGCGAGTGATACAGTTCTATATCGCGTTGGAGGCCTTGACCTGCCAAACACGTTACTCATCTCAGTATTGACCACACGATAATACTCGTTTGAAGATTCGACGTATCGCCACAACCGATGGGGCTCACGAGAGTCAGCTGTAAAATGATGTCCTTACCAGCACTACTCGATGATCAGGGAATGGTTCTTATTATGTATAATGGAAGCGAGCTTGCGGTTTCACAGGGGTATACTTGTATCCAGCAAAGTGGAAGGAACATTTTCAATCCAAAATCCATGGAACTTGAGGCCCCACTATGTCAAAATTGCCTCGGCGTCGTTTCTTCTTACTATCCTCTGTCTTTGGATTTCCTGGAGAACAGGCAAGGTTGGCCCGGTGCAACGCACTTCCCAATATTTGGGTCGCACATCAAGTTTGAGCTTAGCAGATAACTGTACGAGCAAGCTCATAGAAACGACAGGGCTGTTGATAGACAGCAAGCAATTTAGGTGATGGGTATCCAGCTCGTTGCCTACGTCAAACTTAACACTTTTTTAAAGTGAAGCGTCAAACGACACTCCCGTCTGATATCTACTTCACTGAAGCTGGTTTGTCTAGCTGTAAAACGAAAAAAAAGCCGTGTATAGTCGAGCCGACGCAAAAGCGCATCAACCACCGCATTGAGCTGGCATGAAGTGGAAACTTTTGATATGTTACTTTGATCTGGCGGTACCTCGACGCGATGGCGCGTTAGTGCCTGTCGACCGCTTGGAGTATAGCATATTCTATCGCAAAAGCTGAGTCTTCCCAGACAATATGGGCATGCCGATACAATTTGTAAGGTTCAGAATTGAGGAATAAAGAGGCTCTCATTCACGAAGTTCACCTGTTTTGTCGCACCCCAGTGGGTGTAAGAAAATTTGTGAATAGCTGGGGTATGTCGGCATGATGTGCACTGCATTAGTTGGTCAAGTCCCTTTCTTTTGACCTATGGAACAAAAGCTATCGCCAATGTTGATGACTCTGATCTTCGCGTGGTCTGTTCGTAGGCCCGCTTCCTAATGCAGCAACTCCGAAAAGCGGTCTCATCGACGTCAGAGAAACAATAGTCTGTATTGGCAGACAAATTGCTAGAACGCATACACTCGAGCACAGCTGGAACCTCTGACAGTCCCCGCCTCTGCCGCTCGGATATCGTATGTCTTTTTGCTTCATCATCCTACATTTGCTGTTTTGATAATTGAACGACGTCCTGAATTTGCTGGGACTTCTTACAGATTCAAGACAGCCGGGACCTTGATTCTGACATCAATCAAGCCGGTATAGCGAGTCCCATCGCTAATAGCAGCATACTATTGACATCGCCCTCTGCGAGGTGGTATTGCATCTTCTTCTTTCTCAGTAAACCGCTCCAGCTCTGGGGCTCAATGAGAGCTTTGCCAAACAAATTCGCATGTAAAATCGACATCACAAACCCTTCGGCCGAGAAAGTTGGGCGCGCGCAATACGCAGATGTTCGATAGTGCCACATATGTAGCCCTCGTGAGTAACACGGTGATGCGGCAGCTAAGATGTTTTTTTGCTTCCTACGTACACATTCCACTTTTGCGTATAGCTCAGATGTACAACAATACTGGACCTGGTGAGGATAAAAAGACTTCGTAATGAAGAGGTCTGTGTGACATGTAGGCTGTTTGCTTCACATCGTGCATTTCATACAGTCTTACTATCGAATATAGTGAACAGATATTATATTCCATAAGACTTGACTATGATAAAGGTCACACTTGATATTCATAGCTTGCCTCAATACAAGATACTTCTTGGTCTATCAATTTTACTCTTGTTAAAGCTAATGAAACCATCCTCCGTGTGATTACACCACAGACTCATTGATTTACAGCTCACTCTTTGCGAGGCACACAGCAATCCATTGTAATTAAGCTGCTAATAGCTTGTAACTTTAGATATTTGAGACTTGCTGCTAAATTTTGAAGACATGAGGAATTGATTGCTATGAATTTTTATCCCGTCTGTCATCTACAAGATCAATTTTAAATTTCTTGGATGTCGGTCCAAGAAATATTCAGTGAAAGTAAGAAATGAGTAGGAGTAGGCTATGTGTGCATTCTAATTCATTTTATGGTTATCGAGAATCAATGCTGTGGCGCGACCTACATGTAGATTCGACCAACCTTACTCACAAAGTCAGACATGTACCGTCGCCCGTACAATGGCAACATTCCGGTTAATTGATCGAATCGTATCTTGCTTTTTGCGTCTGGTCAGTTAAAAAGTGGCCTTTCCAGGATTCCGCTATCACATCGTAGCAACAGTACTCGTTTAGTACTCGTCAGTACTTGTTACTTATAAAACATCATCCCTGGCTGTATAAATTCTGCCGGCATTCAATGCCATGCAACAAGAAGCATCATCAGACTTCGATGCAAGACATAGTCGTAATAGCGGTGAAGATTTGTGCGAGAATACTCACTACTCGACTCTAGCCAGCGGTCGATCAGAATGGCGTCGAGATGAGCATGGACGTTTCATGCAAGCACTGGAGCTTTACGGCTCAAGAAAGTCAGGAGACGAATGGAGACATATCACTGCATTTGTTGGCTCGCGCACAATTGAGGAGGTGCGTACACATGGACGGCAGTATCTTATGCGACTAATCCAGCAATCGCCTGCATCCGCCGAAACCAGTCGCAATACATTAAGTGCAGGCGGTCACAATAACGTGAGCCGACAAAACTACCAGTTAATAAAAAGTTTTGATCCGAGAGGAGGCAAAAGATCAGTTCCAAGTACAACTGGAAACAGCAGGACTTTGAATGCTGCAGCGTTTGAGTGTGCTCAGTCAATGCGTAGTCCATTTTCACCGCAATATCACAATCGAGCGTTGCATTATCCACAACATCAAAAGGAACTCACTACTTTGCGTCGACAATCAAAGCCTTGGACATTTCATGAGGACAAAGCTTTCGAGACAGCTCTTGCACGGTGGGCCGGAGGTAGATCATATCCGTGGGCAAGAATCGCAGCAGCCATTCCGGGGAAGACTGTAAGTGACGTTTATAGCCGATACGAAGAAATGGTCGGAGAAGTCGCTTCAATCGAGTCTGAAACGCTTCCCGTTTCTACAACAACTCGTTCAATGTCAACGCTGAGTCAGCGTGCGATTCCACCGCCACCGATTGAGGTGCCGCCTAGAAGAGGTGGCACAGGTGAGTTTAATGGCAAAACATATATAATTAAGTGGGCTAAAATCTCATAGCTTCAATCGGATCAGATACAGCGATGGGCATTTTTCCACCAAGCAGAAGATCGCGAGGCCGAAGAGGATCTGCAAGCGGATTCACTATGCTCAGCCCAACATTTCTCGATTTTTTAGCGAAGGAAGCTGAAAGCGAAGAAAAGTCGTCTTTGCCAATATTGCCACTACCGTTTCCCGGGCATTCAAGCTTGCCATCTCCGTTGTTCTCGCCAACTTTATTGCCATCAATGTCCTCTGCTATCCTTAGCAGCAGTGAAGCTAATTTAGCTACTGGTGGTCAACAAAGCAACAAGATGTTAACTTCCGGTAATGATGACAGTAAGGTGGACGATATAGGTGACACAACCTCGACAAACACCACAGGCAATAGTGATGAGCCACAGAACTCCAGGGTACTCAATGAGTTTCTTGCGAATGATTTCAGATTTGACGACCCTATTGGATCTATCAACCACAACAGTAAGAAAGCATCAACTGCAAATTTTACTGATAGGAATGATGTAGCGAAACAGGATATTGAGATGGCTGATGCTTCTGCTGCTTGAAGCCATATTTTGACTAAACGAAATTTGATGTACCTTCAACTATTTGTTTGCTACTACCTCAGTCACATCATCACCTACTTTTCTTCTACCATCCTACTCGCTAACCTGCCTACGACTACTACTACTACTTATAACCTACTCCTACCGTGACAAGCCAACTTCTATTTATTTGCTGACTCATGGTTTGTTGCCTGCATTTGAGGTCGGTCATCCACATTTACTTCGTCACAAAATCATTCATTTCTACACATTGAAGCGAGTCGTAAGGAATTGCCGCAAGGGCTCCGGGAAACTTGCGAAATATGCGGCCCAATTATCGCCTAGACTCGTTTTGAAGCCATGCACGATCTGATAAAGCATGTCTTTTAACTCTGCGTGCTGAATCTGTGGACCTTCCAATGACGCAATAGCACCGCACATAAACATAAAATCAGCGACAATGCCGTTCGGGTTTGCTTTGACCATGTAGCACAGCCCTAAAAAGCAGTGCTCCTTTTCCTCTGGAGCACGCACATGAGCAAGCGCGCGGCACCAGCACTTGGCAAATTCTTGAAGGTGTGGCGCCACTACGCTTGGGCAAACGTACCCAAGTCGTCCGATCGTAATTGCACAATTCTCCACCAAGTTGCGCGGTAACTTTGGCCGATTGATCATACCGATAAGACGAGCTAAGCAACTTTCGACATACGGCTCCATCTCGACGCCGATCCGGATGGCAATTTCGCCTACCGACCAGCTTGCATTGTTGCATACAGTAGGAAGGTCAGGGTCAATATTCTCAATTAAAACCGGTAAGAGATCTCTGAGACTGCTTCGAAGAAGGTTTGGTGCATGTTTTGCCAGATCACCCACGACGCCCATGGCACTCTGCCGCACGTCCATCACGTCGTGACGCACACAGCTCATGAGTAAATTTAACAAATTTGAGCCAGTGAGCAGAGCTTCAATATTGTTCTGTAATCCCTCAATCAGACCCGAAATAAGGTCCAGAGCACAAACAATAAGCTCCGCATCGCCCTCATCAAATTCGTCCGGGCTTTGCTCCGACATAGCGTCAGCGAGCAGCTCATTCTCTATGATACGCTGACATCGAACATACACATTCACGGCAAATTCTTGAAATCCATTGCCAAGCGCCTGCGCAACAGGCGCCAGACACTCGAAAAGCGGGAGAATCTCGCGACTTCGATCGTCCAGAGCATTCCATTTAGCAATAAGTGGAGGCATGAGAATTTTAATAAGCTCAGGATGATTCAAATTCTCACCGACTGAGTCAGCAAGCGTCCCGATAGCATCGTACAAAATAAGTAAATTTTTGGCCTGATATTTGCCAAATGCAAACATTAGGTTCTGCAAAATAGGCGTCAAATAAGGCACCAGCTTTTCACCCGCTTCTTCCTCTAAAGTACAAAACGCCGAGCAAGCAGCTTCTTGAACTTTCTTGTGAGGGTCGAGTATGCGTTTCAGCATACCTTCAACAAGCGGTCGGAAAAGAAAATCATGATTATTCTGCTCTACAACCCACGTTGCATAACGACTTAATGTCCAGCATGTAATACTTCGAATGAGCGGAGTAGGATCCTCTAGCTTCTGTAGCAGAAATGGATACAACTGTGGTAGATGAGGCGTAATTCCATTATAACAGCCATCTGCAATGGCACCTAGCGCCAGGATACCGCTTTCTACGAGCGGCCATGGCTGCTCTTGTGCAAGACGTTCCTGTAGCAAAGGCAACAACGTCGGCAGAATCTCGTTTCCGTAGCCGTTGGCCAAATTGTCAAGACTACCAGCTGAGCAACGACGAAGATTCCATTCCAGCAGCGAGTCATCGTCGTCATCGTCATCGTCATCATCGTCATCATCGTCATCATTAAGACTACCGCTTCCGTGGCCCTTGCGGTGTAAAATGGGCTTGATGTCCTCGGGTCGATCAGGTAGATTCTCATTTTGGTTGTGCTCATCAGCTTCAAAATTTGCCAAATCTTCATCACTATATACCATTCGCTGAAATAGCAATGGAATGATTTGCACCAAATACGGCTGTAGCATAGCTTTCATATCATTAAACTCACGCAGGTCACAAAATGACGACCAGAATTCGCAAGCTTCAATTGCCACGTTCTCATCTTTGTCCTGATTTGCTCGCAGAATAAACTGGATGATACTATCCAGATGCGGCACAAGATACTGGACCCCCACTTCAAGCAGAATGACGATACTCTTGCAAACAAGTCTGCGTACTTCATTTGACGGATCCTGTGTAAGTAGCGAAATGCCGGCCAGAAAGTTTTCCATCTGCACCACTAATCCCATTGGCATAAAAATGAGCACATTGTTCAGGCACTCAAGTGCGTCGCGACGAAAGTTTGCATTCTGGTGGTGAAAGTATTGTAGCAGCTTAGGCACAAGCCCATTAAGCGGACGACTGGGTGAATTTTCAAGTTTCGCGGCAGAGTCTTCGCAAATCTTAACCAGTGCACCAAAAGCGCCAGCTACAGCGTTTTCGTCCTGTTGTTCCAGAAACAAGAGCAACGCCGGCATAAGTTCTGGCCATTCATCTAGAAAAGTGTACTGAGACACAAATGTGGTGATAATAGAGCTAGCCGCATTACGAATAGGTGCCAGCGGGTCAGCCAATACGCTTAAAGTTTGTGCGCGAATGACCGCAAGAATTTCAGTCTCAGTAGGAGTAGGTACAGCGTTGGCATTGCGAGCTTTAATGTTGCGCTTGAGCAGAAGTCCAGCCAGTTGACGTACGTTCGGCTCGGTCTGTGCAGAGCAGAGCAGATGAACGAGGTAGAGATTAAACTCAAGATTCTCCTGGAACTGCTGCAGACGCTGATATGACTCGCGTTGAACCTGATTATTAGGAACCATGTAGGCCTGTAAAAGAGAAACCACCTCATTAAGTAATGCAGTTTGTGGCTGCCACGTATTACTCATGATATGAATGGTCTTGCTTGAGTCTTAAACGTCTTGAGCTTGTGGGCACTTCGCTGAATCTTTGCAATGTCGGTGTAGTAATAAACAGGAAATATAAAGATACTTGACAGTATAAACGCTGACGGACAAAAAATATATTCAGGAAGGAGGAGAATGAAGATAGAGAAGGAAAGCGACTGGGGGCTGGATGAACTGAGCTACTGCGGAAAAGGCCGCCAACCAAGGGAGAGAGGGTTTTCAACCAATTAACCAAGTTTTATCTTTCTAAACCAATCCCTGCGCTTTCTCTTTTGATTGGGTGAATAATAGTATGATATATAGTAATACAACATACTATGGAAACTAGCGTACCTGCCAACGCTAACGAGCAATGTGTGGGCCCACAGTCTGAATTAGCCGGCAAGGTTGATGGCTGCAGTGGATGTCCAAATCAGAGTGTATGTGCTTCGGGTGCAGCACGTCAGCCAGATCCTGCCGTTTCGGATGTGAAGCAGCGTTTAAAAAGCGTCAAGCACAAGCTTTTAGTTTTATCGGGCAAAGGTGGCGTGGGCAAGAGCACAATAGCTTGTCAACTGGCTTTTGCTTTAGCTAGCAAAGGCTTTCAGGTTGGACTTTTAGATGTGGACATCACGGGTCCAAGTGTCCCCAGAATGCTTGGACTTTTGGGCCAGGAAGTGCATCAGAGTGCGGCTGGCTGGTCACCTGTGTACGTGGACGACAATCTTGGCGTCATGTCCATTGGATTTATGCTACCTAACGCTGATGACGCCATCATTTGGCGTGGTCCTAAGAAAAGCGGTATTATCAAGCAATTTCTCGTTGATGTGCAATGGGGTGAACTTGATTACCTCATCATCGATACACCCCCAGGCACATCGGATGAGCATATTAGTATCGTACAGTACATGAAAGAGGCAGATTTAGATGGAGCTGTTGTGGTCACTACGCCTCAAGAGGTTGCCCTTAGCGACGTTCGCAAAGAGCTTAATTTCTGCCACAAGACCAAGATTAACGTTCTTGGAGTTATTGAAAATATGAGCGGCGTGCAGCGCCCACTCAGCGACGTCAAATTTGTCAATGCTGACGGAACTGACGAAACCGCAAATGTTTTCAAGGTAAATTGGAACGAGACGAAGAAAATGTCTGCTAGGAATTGATGTTGTATTTGTTGTGATTTTGTAGCTGCTACAAGAAAAGACACCGGAAATTCTGCAATACTCGGTGCAGATGGAGGTATTTCCTGTCTCTGATGGCGGTGGTGAAGCTATGGCCAAGAAGTTCAATGTGCCTTTCCTTGGTCGCTTGCCACTAGACGACAAAATGACTAGTTCATGCGAGGAGGGCGTGTCGTTCTTGGAAGAGTATCCCGACTCTGTGGCGGCTCCAGCTTTTAATCATATTGTGCAAGGTACAGGGGAGAGTGACATTTTTTTATGTATTTCTAACTAACTCAAATCGACTTGCAGATCTCGTTGCAGCTGTCGAGCAGAAAAGGTAAGATTGATGGGAGCAATCAAAGTTGTGATTGCATTGGAGAAACATACACTTCAGTGAGTTTGTCGCTGTAACATTTTCATTCGTGCTGAATGCTCCAGTGTGACGACGAGAAGCGACCAGTTGAATTGCGCGTCTAAAGTAGAGATATCTAGATTTGCTTTTATTATTGCTTTGACAACGCTTCTATTGAACTCGACATTTGCTCCGTATTTAGTAATACAATAACTACAGTAACGTTGTCCGACGAGCCTGACCGTATGGCCAAGTTTGCTAAAGATTGGCTTGCTTGCTACATTGTAAATAATGACAGAGTTATAAAGTTAAAGATTATTTTGTAGTGCGATTAATGCCGCAAGTGGGGCTCGTACCTTGGCAGAATGCCCCTCATTTAGCCTGTCAGCGACATATTTGACAGCCTCCTTGCTCTTGATTGTGTCCCAGAGTCCATCGCACGCAAGAATGAGAAAATCGAATTCCGGTGTGATTTCTATCTCCTGCGCCATTATAATCGTAAACAAGTTGCCGACAGGAAATATCCCACCACTTCTTACCTGACACTCTGGCACCGATATAACTAAGTCACCATGAAAAACTCGATTGTGTCCTTCAGGATATGCCCAGTATTCATATTTTGACAGCGCTTTGCCCTTGTAATCAAGATCGCCAATGGCACGAGAGACAGCAAGCTCACCATTAACTCGGTGAATAGTCACCCACTTGATTACTCGTTCAGCACGTTGCTGGATTTCTGGATCACTTAAATCCATCGAATGTAACTTTGATAGCTGCAGCTCGCGCTCCTCTTTTACCCATCCTCCCTGCTTCTCTATCCGCGCTCGCTCGTCTGCACGACCTGGGGTCTGCTCTTCAATAATATCCAGTGCCTGACCACCAATGCTAGCAACTGCTCTGCAGTCTCCGATATTCGCTGTGATCAATCGATTGCCTCGAATCAACACCACTGCTGCTGTTGTACCATCACCGAGGCTCTGAACGGATTCCAAAATATACGTGTAAGCATATTTATAAGTTCATTTCGCCAATCACTGTTTCAGTATAAGTTGCTCTGCGTACCTCCTCTTCAGCCTTTTGCAAAAATTCTCTGTCGATACGAGCAAAGCATTCCTCAAAGGCAAGTCGCGTATTCGACATAAAGGCTTCATGTGAGGTAAGGTAAGATACCAAACGCTGATTTGAGAAGGTTGCAGCCTACATCAAAAAGATTATCGTGTAAGGCATTAGCTTAGCATTAAAACTATCAAATAAAGCATCACGTACGTACCCGTACACCACTATGGCCATCAAATAGAGCATAATACGATTGTCGTTGATGATGCGGCTCGTCATTTTTTAAGTGTGCGTTGAGGTCGGGAATGCAACAGCAAACATCCTCCATTGCTGCACGGACACCCAACAACGACGTCACCCCATGGACACTATCACCAGTGGAATAGCTCGAGCTATCTCCGTATAGAGTCTCGTGAAAAGAGTCGCGAGTGTCAATGGAGAATGACTCAATTGGCTGCATTTCTGCAAATCCTTCTCTTTGGTGGCGCGGCACCCAGCGGCCAGCAGAAGGACCCGGTACCGGCTCCGGCGGCGGCGACAAATTGACAGAAAGAGAAGGCGGTGATGTCGGCTCTGCTGCACTGCGATTTCGGAGATATCGAGGGATATACTTCCCACTGGCAGAAGGGGGCGATGCTGTCGGTACGATCAGTTGTGGCTCGGTGCTCGTCTCTGGGCTTTCACATGCAACTAAATAAACCTGCCGTCGGCAATTAAGAGCGTTCTCTTCATCTTTTGTCTCTGGAATGGAATTTTGCCGTGCTATACGAGCATGATTTTCTGGTAATTCGTCCATTGGATCGAATGCAAACATTAACGGGCTACGCGGTCCAATTCCACTAAAATTTAACGGGCTGCTAGATCGCCGAGGGCTTATTCGAGACGAAAAAGATCCTTCGCCACTTGTCGATTCGTCAGAATAGCTATTTGATTCAATGTTTGCGCGATGATCAACATTTAAGAGCTGATCCGTGACGTCTCGGTGATCGAATGAGACACTGCGGTTTACGCGAGGCATACTCTGTTTTGGAAGGCATCATTGAACGTGAAAAATTAATTTGCTTGAAAGCGCATTGGTTTGCAAGAAGTAAAGAAAGACAATGAGGTAGATTTTGACGTACCCTTCGTGAAAAACTATTGCCAAACCAATTCGGTCGCTGCTCGGTCTGATAGAATATGACCCTTTCAATCAAGATTCATTCCGGTATTATAAAGAACGTACCTGAGTTCGTGACAGGGCCAGCACAATATTTGCAATTGATTTTTGAAAATTAAACAGCCACTCGTGCATCTACGTAGCCATTTAAATAACAAGAGACTAAGCTTCTTACCAAAATCACTGCATCAAGTAAACAGTTTGCTACCATATCTTTGGACTCGGCACGTAGGACATACCGCCGACTTTCCATGCGAATCTGAAAGGCAGCGATGCCAAAGTCCTTCTGCAAGAGCACGACGATTGCAAAGGAGAGTGGACGTATGTGCATGTTAGCAACCGAGAGATGTAGATGGGTGAAGCAGAGGAAGCACCAGCACAAGTGTGTTATTGCGCAAGAGGTAGCTTGTGCTTCCCTTATTTTCACAATTTTAAATAGATAATTTCGTACCGCTGTGGTCACTGAGTCGATATTCTCCATTGAAATAACGCCGCAGCATGTTTTGTCGGTATATTTCTGCTCTTTGACGTCACTCTTGGACTTGTAGTAGAATAATTTACTTTCCTGCATGACAAACCACCTTTTTTTCCAAAGTGTGGGATCTTCCGAGCTCTGTTTCTCCAAACATCCCTCCATAAAGGCGGCTCTGTTATCCAGATAGCATCACAAATACACAAAACGAGTAAAAGTGAGATTCATATAAAAATACACAATGCTGGTTTTATTACTCCAGATATCTTGAATATCCATCCATGGTGCGTGGGCGGAAGTAGCTCGTTGATGTCATCATGCCACCTTAAAACAAGACTCATTTTTGTTAATAAATTAAAAAAGTCGCAAATAATAATGTAAAAGCTTACCTGCATCCTCAAGATCATTATCAGACGAAGATGACGATGAAGAAGAGAATAAATGACCTTCAGCTCGCTCAAAGAAGCGCGAGAAACTCAAGACAGCTTTGGGTACAGAAATGGAATTGTCAGATCCATTAATTGCAACGTTTAGCTGCGAGCATGGGGCTGTTTCAGCGCGCTCGCGGTGGAAATGCGTGGGTTGAGAGGAAAAATCATCTTGAGGCTGCCAGCTCGCAGGTGGCGGCATAGTACGATGCAAAAAGCGGCGAAGACTGGCCATACTGAGGACCCTCAAGATAAACCCCCTCGTCACAAACTATTTACACCCTTAATAGTGAGTGATTTAGTTAATTTGATTGAAGTTGACCTTAAATTACTTCCAGCATTCATTGAAGATAGTCTACGCAGCATATGTGCAAGAAGTGAATTCTCGAACGCTGAAGTGTAATGCTTCAGTGGTGCACGTTTCCATATAGACGATTAAGTATATTTACCATCTGTAATGTATCCATAATGAACAAAAGTTGATCTCGGAACTCAGAAACGTATGCTAGCTAAATAATAAAGATGATTGTTGTATTTTAACTTAATACACTACAGACATGACAATGCAGTTAATAAATTACGAAACTCGATGATACAATGTCCTACGATGCTTGAATTGCATATTTAGGTGTGAGCAAATCTCCGGAAAACTGTTTGATCTTCGTAACAGAGCACGTACTGCATTTTGGTGTATGCACATACTACCGTATTTTGTTTAGGTCTCACTGTCAAGTTCAGTAGTGTAGTGATTGTAACGGAGATGCCGTGCATCATGCACGAAGCTTCAACTTACTGAGTCTGCGTTGATAGTGCAGAGAATAATTTCGTACACCCGGGAGCGAAACCGAGAGCCGTTTAAATAGCAACGTAGTTACTTTGCTCTTTTGTATCGAAGAGGCGTGTAATTAGATTTTGGTCTAGTTTACACTGATGCTGTTTGAGTATCATTTTATTGCGTGAGGGGGCAGCCTACCGGTCTCACATACCTTTCTTTTGCTGGGTCCCATTGTCCTCAATAATTTGGTACTTCTGGGATAGCTTTGGAGCAGGTGAAAACACCATAATACGGTACATACACTTCGATGTGTATCGCACTTTTTTGAGACATAAAGCAACCGGTCCACTGCGTCTGAAAATTTACTACTCTTCTTGCACCTTGCAATATCTGCTCCTACAAGCATCAGCCTTACTTTCTAGTGTGATTCCATTGATCGGCAAGCTTATAAGAAGGTGCGATCATCGCGGCCGATGACCTAACAGCTAATCTCGGCGAGGCAGCTAAAATGTACTCAATAGAACGGTCGAGGTGACTCTTCGATTTCTGATCCGGCACCTCTGCCCTCCCTCTCGAGAGATACAAGGCAAAACCAATCGCTGAGAGTGAGACATTTCAACGCTCCGTTTTTTTACACGAGCTGCACACTCCATCCTCGTATTTTATGGCAGAAATAGTTTGGACACTCTACCGCGGAGCTCACGACGCCGTCTAGCTCGCTACCGATAAACTGTGCTGGGCTTAGCGAACCAGACCTGCACGCCTACAAGCGCAAGAGTCGCAACTGTTTCAGCGGACTCAATCACGCCAAAGTAGCGGTTTGTCCGTCAGAAGTTACCCGCCGCGCCGGGTAGGAGTCCTTACACGCCTATGCCCGTGAGTCTTCCTCCCAAGCCGAGAGCAAACGAGCGCATCATGACGCAGCAGGTCACCACTCCGCCTGAGCACCACCGCTTAGAGTAGCAGCAACTAACTCTAAATCAACAGTCGGTCTTTTAAGTACTAAAGGTTGGTGGACGTGCCGCTAGAAAGGTTTGCAAGCTAGTCGACATCAGACTTGAGTCTCGCTGAATGTTTGACATTCCGGAGTACAAAGTACGATGTGAAACTGGAGGTGGATGCTCACCGCGTCGACTTTCTGCTGTCATCATCCCTGCTCATTTGCATGGGTATCTGCCGGTACTGCTATCGGGCAGTTTCGAACTTGGAACAAGGCGGGGTCCACCTGCTAGTAGGTAATGTGTCCTGCAGTGCAACTTTGTTTACTTACTGGGTTGATAAGACAGAAGTCGTAAGTACAACGACGACAGGGAAAACTTGCCTAAATGTAAAAATGAGGCATTTACTTTCATTAATTAAGGTTTCCATGGTAGCAGCCCGAATGTATCCGTCGGCTCACTGACCATTCCACATGGAAGTGTGTAACTCCCTGCTTATCAAGGAATACCGGCGAAGACGACTCTTTTCGGCCGGCTGTCATGAGCTCTATTGACTTTTGCGGCACCTCGGCTCATTATGCAGCGGGGCTGCCGTAGCTCTTTGCTTAAAGGAAGCTTACTAAGGTCACCGACGTTACGTTCTATACTCGAACCAGTTCGAGTGTAGCGGATCGCGATCCGCTACCTCCAAAAGTACCCAAGACCTTAACCCAAGGCAAATGTATTATTCCGTTCAAAATTGAATCTGTATCAGTTTTATTTGCAGCAGAGCCGCCCATATAGGTTTCCCTTATTAAAATAGTGAAAGCTGCATAAGTACTGGCACCACCACGTAGTGGCTTCTTGTTACGGTGTAGTCACACCATTGTGTGATTACCCCGACTTGTGTAATCCACACCTTTGTACGGTCATACTATCTTGTGTGACCCACCCTTTCAGACACAAATTTGTGTAACCCCGTTTCACTCTATAATAGCCTCCGTGTGCAGCTGCTACTGAGACGATCGATTTTCCAGTTGCGTTCTCTGGGCTACGCCGTCTCACAAAGTAAACTGACGTCCCAAGCGGCTCAAAATTCTAATGAACAGAACGCAGCTCAGCTTCAGAAACCATTTTACATCCAAATGGCTCGTTAGAAAGTGCCATGCTTTGGATTTCAAAGGCACATTTATGGAATTTGAGCGTGTAGTTCAATAAAATTTTGGCGCAGACTTTAAACAGTCTGGGACGCAACTCGCAATAAATAACTGCAGATATGTGGGCAGCGGCGTTCAATTCAACCTTGCCGCCAACGTAGTATTCATGTGTGTTTCGTCTGTTTGTGATATTTTTTAGTTGCTTTATTACATTCTGAAAATTAGCCGTATCATCGCATACGTTCAATCATGTCGAAATAGAATCTATTATGAGGTGGAATCAGCGCGTCAAATGGTATCGATAATCTCTCCTCGACCAAGTCCGGAGTCACTTCAAGGCTGTATGAAGAACTCGGATTAATAAATTGTAAACATGACGCTGCAGTGGGAATTGTGTAACATAAAGCAGTATCAATGAGTGGGGGCGTTTTGCCCCAGCACCGAGGTATTTCCACACAAATGCTCCGGAGGATATCCTTCAGCACGTGATTTATGTGTCCTGTCCAATCGTCTTTTTGCTGGTGGTCAGTGATGGATAAGTCCAATCTAGCGCCAAGCGCCTTGAACAATTCGACAACATTTCGCTCTGAAGCGCAGGTCTTGGTCCGACAGTATAGCCGCCGGTAAGCCTTTGTGTCGAAAACAATGTCTTGGTTTATATTCTCATTTGGAGTGTTGCCGACAGCAGCAAGATGTTTGCTCAGACAGCCCACAAAGACCACGTCACCGATGCTTTTTTGTTTAATTGTGAAAGATGAAGTTCATACCAATGGTCTGCCAATATTTGGCTGAAAACAACTACAGCCAAAAGTGCTAGCGTATGTAATTCGTCAACGTGCGCACCCATTATACATGTCGTGCCAGTGCATAACGCTTACCGAAACGTTTGTTTCTTCTCGTCTGAGGTGACAACTCACAAGATGTCGTGTACCTCATACATCATTTTGAGGTTTAAATTCTCATAATGGATGAATCCTACCACACGTTGAATAATGTTGTAAGGCAGCAGCTTCTTGGATAAGGAATAGCTACTCAGACGTGCAACGAAAGATTAGATAAAGCGGCATCTAGGCCAAAAATTCTCTTACTTTCCGTTGCATCCGACAGGATCGATGTACGTATTGTCTTGTCGATGCGTGTCGTCACCATCACGACATGAAATGTTTACAGTCTGGATGACGCAAAAGTGTATCTGCCCTCATATTTAGCCCGCTTTATTTCAAAAGTGTACTCGGCAAATAATAAATATCTCAGCATCACCTGAATAGATGTTACCGTGCGCAACGACGCATAGTCTGCATCGATCACGTATGGCTTAGAGCCAAGCAGTTGTACCTTCAACTCGTCAAGCATATATTTGATTGCATTTATATATGTTTACCGTGATCACAATGATATATCTTGTTCGTCCAAGCTGACAATTCTTAAGCGCAATTACGCGCGCACACCATTCGGAGTGATGCACAGCGTTGAGCATGGACCGACCAGTTACAGACTGCAGGAAATGGGCAAATTGGGTGCATGTTGCAGCTTAAAGCCAGCGCCAAAATTGTTCCTGCTTCTTGGCAATAGTGTTCAGTAGCTCGCCAAAGCCTTATAATTAGTGAATGCGTATAAATCAAGGTCTTTGGCTCCATGATTGCCCATGGCGTTTATCAAGTTGAAGGTACAATGCCCTAGCATGTCAAAGTTCTCAGACTCTGCGAAAACATTCATCAGTACCTTTGGCACTTTTCCTATTGTTTTTGTCATAACACGTGCGAATATCTTACTTTGACAAACGGCTCAATCGCGACCTACAGATGTACTCCATAATTACGCCAAAATATATAATAGGAAGGACGTCATTCGCGTGTGCTATGCCGTTTTAAGCAGTTTTTACTTTAGTGGGGTCACCTATGCCAAGAAAGGAGTATCAATTACAACCAGTTGTCATCATTGTTGATATTCCCACTTTCTCCCCAGATTTCTACATCTGATCAACGCGTTCATCCACATTCAGCTGATCCCTCGGCGGATCCCAATGGCTCCAGCGTCGGCTTCAACAGGGACGATGAAGTCTGAAAAGTCATTAAAATTGAAGTCGACTCCAACAGAATAGACGATGACAACTGCAACTAATTCTGATGATACAGCTACCGCTGCTGACGTGTTCTTATATATCGATACAATGTATTTACTATTTATTAGCTATTTCCTCTACAAGAGCAAATATCTGTTCTGACACGATTCAAACCCAGCAGCATTATCACCACGAGAATAACAACAAAGTATTGATAAACTTCAAAATAACATTCTATTCAGTCGTAATTTGGTCGACGATGTAGCATATCGGTATAAGAAAACTCGATTTCACGTGCATGCTCGAATTTTGCAGCCATTCGTTTTCGTGTATTGCTATCCACTGGACATTTGAGAGTTTCATTCGTTCTCTTGGGTGAGAATATATTATCAAGGTCTTATCTGACCGTTTCAGAAATTTAAGTGCATCGGTGTTGTCTAAACTATCTAGAAACTCAAGAAGCTACATTGATGTCTAAGTTTTATGTTGGATGCTTGCAATCAAACTAGTCGTCGGTGTTTCCATTTTCTGTCCTGCTTGCTGGCGTTGATGTTTCCAATTTAACTTCTCAATTTTGGCAAGGCGTTAAGGCCGTCGCCAAATGTTTTTCGTAATCCAGATACCTGCGAAGTGGTGAACAACTGGCTCAAATGGAGTGGTGATGTGCTCATGGCAGCACGCCAGGCACAGAACGCCTCGTAAAATGCTTCATTAGAGTGATCAATGAACTGTATTCAGGCCGACATCAGTGAGATACGCTTGAAAACGTATCAAGGCGAGCCTTCAGGTTGACAACAAGGATCCTTCGCATGATTTGAGTCATGATTGATAGCTAGAGTTACCTCCAGATTCAGCTAATCAAGGCACTTTTGCACATTGCAGAATCTCAACCATTGGCGGAGAAAAAGTTTTTTGTATCTTTATGGCTGACATGCGAGATTAACATTCCTTCGTTGCATGCCTGCCCAAGATTTCTATAGCGACGAAGTCATCCATCCCCGTTTTGTCATGCTATTATTTATTTCATATATCTAGTCTATTTCTTCGGGTGCCGATCGAATCGCATCGTGGGAAGCCGGTCAACAGCTAGGAAAATGAGCGCCAGTCGCCATGGTAGATCGTATTGTGGTGGCGGATTTTGACCTTGCTGGAGCTTGCGATGGCGTGGTTACCGGGAACACACCGTTGTATGGTGTATGGTGTATGTCTCTACATTACAATATTGTACAGAGCTCAGAAAAGCAGAAGCCGAAAGAACTACGAAAGTAAGCGGTCCGTAGGAAGCATGGCCATGTAATCGCCGTGCTTTTATCGGCTAATCTGTGCGTCACGCTAGCCCTTTTCAAGCTAGGAGGTCGTAAAATTTTGGAGCTTCCGTGCAATACATTATTAGTAGAGGCAGGCCAGACACGCATTATATTGAAACGTATGCGCTCAAACGCTTGGTCACCCGTCCGAAAATGCGAAATTAGTGAACTGTGTCCAAGCTTCAGCAGCTATCATCGCCGCGATAGCGGTAAGCCATCTCTTAGAGGTGACAACGGTTACAGTCTCTAAGGGATGTCTTTGTATAGGTGCGTCCCGCAATGATACCTGTCGTGTCCACTTAACCTTCATCGAGAGCAGCTGGGCCTTTACAAGCGCGCGAGTAGCCGTGATACGCAGCAAAGCCAGCGGGGAATAAACTCCTTGCTGATGAGCAGCACCAGTGAACTTGCACATGTTATATTTGCGCCCTGCGCGCTGTCAGATTTCGCGTTAGAGAGGTATGAATACTGATCTTCTACTTAGTCCAGCTGACGAGCTTGTTACGAAAAGGTAAATAAGCCGCCTGCTGGGAAAGAGCTGGACTCACATTTACCTCACAGAAAAAGAAGACGGGTCCGAATGAGAGTGACTCGCCCTTCCAAGAGATGGGGCTCAAAGCTCAAGATTTTTTGCTGCCGACATTAGCATTCCGGGCTTTGCGAAGCCGCAAAATTCTTTGTTGAAATGAAAATTGTTGCGCAACAATGTTCCATGAAGTTATCGGAAATAGAATACAGAGCGCAAAGGTATTTAAGTTTCCAGATTGGTCTTCAAAGAAAGATACTACCATCCTAAAGTTTGGTGCGAAGCCACCAATCAACGAACACCAAATAATTGATACGTGAGCCGCGAAACAAATCGAGCGCATCCGTGAGAACATTCAGACGAAATACGCTGTCAAAGGAGGCGTTGAAGTTTTATCCGCTGATGCTTGACTTGTTCAACTACAGCATGGTCAGCCACTTTGGAGAGGTAGTCATTAAACAACAAATTTTCACGGTCGTGGGAAGCTCTCGGTAAGAAAAGACAGAGCTTAGGCTAACAAATTCACATACATCATGCGGAACTTGTAGACTCAATGGAGCGTAGACTGCTTCGTCCTTTGACAGATACATTGCTAAGAATCCAGTTTTGTATCGACTATACTGGTGAGGACGGCAGTATTGATTCGGTATCGAAGTGAGTGATTCTTATGACCAAGGTGCCCACCAGTTGTATGATGTTTATTTATCCGCTGAATTGACGGGCATCATTGCTATGAATAAAGATACATCATACATCGAGGGGGCCGCTGTGATAATAAATTGACAACAACGAACACGGGCTGTGCGATAAAGCTGGCAAGAAATTGACTTGGTTTTTTCGTCTTAGAAGCTTAAAATGTCGCGACGCAACGTACCTTCGTCCTATGAACGTTATAAAGTTTTAAGGGATGTATAAGCTCTCATCGCAGCCGCACCGTCATCGTCAACGCTTATGGATTGACCTTGCGACGAAATTCCATCTATCGGTGCCTCGAGATAGTCATCAGCTTGTCGAGAGAGCACATCAGTCCGTGTGAATTGCAAACTGCTGGTCGCAGATCATTTGCTCTCAAAACAAGTACAAATTCAGGTCAAAAGTTTCTTGTAAGTATCCAGGTATTATTATCAGGTGTCTTCGACTGCATAACAAATACGTCATAACGCGCTCGCATTTCTGGGGTGTCGATTGCATCAGAGCACAGCCGATCGCAAAATCACAATCACTACAAAAATTGAAATGGTTTAGCGTAGTCTACAAGCGGTGTTATTGGCGTGTTAACTTGGGTTCTGAAGTTAAATATTGCTCCACACTGCAATGCATCACCAAGGGATCGGTGCGACGTCATTGACTTTATCTTCCGTGCGATACACAAAGCTAGTTTGTCGAAAGAAGTGAACATCACACTCGGCGCCGACATTCTGTCCTAAAGGCTAGCTGAAATCGTAAAAGTCATAGTAAGTAAAATGCTGTCACCATTCCGGCTCAGACACCAATGATGTAATACCCGTTGAGTGGGTCACAGACACTGAATTGACCACAATCGGCATTACTAACTGTTGATAAGAGAGAGCCATATCCAATGAGTACTTCGATCGGGATTCTCTGGGTGAGGCTGTTTATGCCGAATATCTAATGCGTCTGTGACGTTTGATCGTCTTGTAACATTGCTGCTAGACCCCATCGTAGCTTTGCACAATCTATATCGACGATATGTGTGTCCAAATTTGTACAGAGCATGGAAAGTCAAACGTGAAAGACCACATGTAATTACGTGTGAGCAGTGCTTGTTAATTCGCTTAAAAAGCTAATAGCTATTAAAGACAAGTGATGCTGTCGACTTTTAAAGTCTTTCATTCAGAAGCGAGGCAATCGGATTGACCTCGCGTAAGTCAAGGCCATTACTGATTGACAAGTGCGTCTGCCCACTTGTGTTCAGGGAGTGTCTCAGCCTGGCCGCTAATTTGCAGAAGATTGGTGCGCTTTTGAAGCGCCGATCAGCGTGCAGTCCCATCTCGTCAATGTCATCAATGATAATGAAAAAGCGGTATGGGTTGTGATACAAGCTTATATCTTAAGGTGTGAAAGCAAAGTTTCATACACGTTGTATTGGTATGCGCGTTATTACGCTGTGGCACGTCTGCTAACGCCAGTAGATATGTAAAGTGGTATTGCAGCTGCTGACACCGTAACAAACATCTTAGTGTGTTTGCCATTGTCGACTCTTCAGAATGATGCGTCTCGATAGCTGAGGCACGCTGTAGCACGTCTGCCAACGCCACTAAACACGTCATGTTGTATTGCAGCTAATGGCTGACCTTCATGACGATTGTCATGAATCGTGACAATCGTCTGAGCGCCCTGCCGTTGTACAGTGCAAAACTATACCGGCATAGTACGACCCCTCTTCACCAAATACCGTAAAACATAATCAGAAATGGTATTGGGTGCGGCAAATGCGGCAAATGAGGCGGCTCTCAAAATTTAGATCGACCATTCCACGTCGTCTCTGACGCTTCAGTCTTCGCAATAGGTCACGATTTATATGCCAATTGGCATAAACGCGTGATCGAGCCTGATTACTGCCATCTGAAAGCTGCTGAGAAGAAATTCCTCGTTCATGATAATCGGCTACTTTCACTGAAGTATGCCCTCGTCATCTTTAGAGTACATTTACTTGGCTCAAAGCCTTTTCAGATCCGCACACATTATGCTCCGCTGCGCACTGCGATGTCGCTGCAACACAACTAATAGACAATGGTAACATGACTAATCTTTTATGCTAGTTCTACATTTAAGGTACGGTGTAAGCAAGATGGTCTTAATGTGGTTGTGGATGCCCTTCCAACTATGGTGGCGTCGCCAGTCAACGAGGCGATACATGGTCAGACTCAATACGTGTTGAGCTGCTGAGCTTTTAAATAACTTAGATGTTGCTTCAGCAAAGCATGCGGTTGCACGCCTGTTACGCTATCCTTTATCACAGGGACTGCTGGATCACAGCACTGACCCACCTACACTCAGCGTGCAGTGGTATCTCGTGATGAGAGTCTAAAATCTAAAGTACTGTACGAGGCACAAGTTTCCTTTTGGTAGCCACCCCGGGAGAGAGAGACTTCGGTGGCTCAATATGTAAAGGTGGGTAAGCATATACGCTCACAGAAGTAAAATGCGTCAGCGGTTCATACCCTCGCTACATGCGACACCTTCTGCCGGCTTCGGCAGAGTGTCGACAGTCCATCGATTCGGATTTTTGATGTTCCAAAAAAAATGCGTCCGGTAATACCATTTATTGTGGCCTTTGTGTACCGTATGAGCAAGGTGGTTCATCTCGCTGCCGTCAGCAACAAAGTGACCAATGACGATACAGCCAGGCTGCTCCTCAACTAAGTATTCTGGAATTAGCCGGTAGCCAATGTATCGGATATAAATCAGAGCGCTTAAACGAAGTTTGACGAGCGTCACACAAGGTACTCGGCACCAGATAAAAGTTTCATCTGCTGAATATCCGGAAACATATAGTCAGATTGAGCACGTGAAACGCGTTTTGGATGATATTGTTGAAGTTCTTGCGCGTAGAGAGCGCGGCAATGAAGCGAGTTGCTCTTATAATCCAATTGGCTTTGACTAACGCAGTTCATACTTCTACAGGTGCTACGTCATTTGAGGTCACTGGTTTGGCAAGCTTCGTGTGTCTTTGACGCCGCCACAAGTGGTCCCAGTCTTAGTGGGAGAGAGACTGGTATCAGAGGGGCTACCAAACAAGATATTATTGTTCTTCTGTCAGCGAGATTGATCGTCATGCGCATGGCACACTATGCTGTGGCTGAGAAGACGACCCACACAACCAACACACGGATGTCAAAGACAGACAGAACACACCGAATTTGCTGTCGGGTGAAAAATAGTTTTTTTGCAACTAATTTGCATACACCTGCAGTATCTGTCTAAACGACAAAATACACTGGATCGTTCATGTTTGTAGCAAAAGAGATTGATAAATAAACACCTTTAAGAAAATGCGAGCATGTTCAGTGTTCCATGTTGGCTTAGTGACGCCACACCTCGATCCCATTGCACGAGCATTAAGGCGTGAAGAGCTCTGTTGCAGATGATGCAATACTTCTCTCATTCCACTCTGTTTTAATAAATGATGCGGTTTTGTATCGCTGAAGGTGCCATAAGTCAGGACATATGATGGTGAAGCTCAGACAGCAAAATCGAGCCCTGGGGAATCTCAATTTCGGACGCATGCCGTGACTATGACTATCGGGGAGACTCGCGCGTCACTACAGCAAAACAGCTCACTAGAGCAGGTCGTGGAAGGGTACCTTTTCACCAGCACTGCTCGATGAACAAGGGGCGACCCACTTTGCCGTGGGGCGTTTGGTCGGCCGTCGTGTACACCAGAGTAGTTGCCAGTTCCTGTTGCAGCGGATGCATTACCCTCAGGCTAACATAAGGTTCCACGTTGGCTAGATTGGCAATCTTGCCAACATTTTACGACCTGACACGCCCTCGACCTTTATCTGCCATGAAGAAGAGACGAGGTTGTCGCAGCGTGTTTCATATTAGCGGGAGGTGACCGTGCTGCTGGAAATCCCGGCGAAATTTGGGAGACGTGGAAGGTTAGCATCAAGGCGCAGCTGCAAGTGCGGTGAGTTTGAACTTTGGTCGACAGCTATTACATCTGTCACTCGTCAGCGAAGATATGTTGCTACTGGTCCATGCTTGGCATTACATCTGTCTCAAAGAGACGAGTGATAGAAAGTTTTTAGATAGTGTGCCAATAATGTGCCAATTACCTAAAAATCTTTCTGTCACTCGTCTCTTTGAGACAGATGTAATGCCAAGCATGAACCAGTAGCAACATATCTTCGCTAGCTGGCTTGTGGAGCTTCTAGATGGATTAAGCAGTGTGTTTTCCTCACCCAGTGCGCGAGTTGATTTAGATACTCAGCGGTTATTTTGTCAGCTTCTGGTAACCATGTTACATCCCACATCTTGGACATAGACAACCGGTGTTGCTTCAAGCGCAAACAATACTCCTGGGGATGGCAATCTATGGTTTAAAATACTCACAGAGCTACTTTCTCGCGCTCATTTTGCTGTGGGTGTGAGCAGAAGGTTCACACGCATAGGCGTGTTAGAACTCTGTATTAAAGCAACTTTGCACGGCTTAAGCCGTGATCACATCGTAATGTGAGTGAGGGTCGACGTGACTCTTTTGCTTGCAGTAAAACAAAATGGATCCTTTTTACTAGGCCCAGCTTGTTGGGCATAACGGGATAAGTACTGTAACTTTGTGTACTTATTCCTTACACATTTGGTTCGAATGTAATCTATTCAGCACGGTACAATCCTACGAGTTCACATTGCACTTCAAATTGTGACTTTACGTAAGTAATAAAGTGTCAACATTAGTAAAGCGGTGAAACTTTGGACATGAGAACTGTGTGGTACACGTGGCCTGCTAGCCACACGTCACAAAAGACACAGAAAAACGTATATACTGAGTACCAGTCTCAGTAGCATCATTCCTTGATTTGTATAACTCCAAAATCGAGCTGACTAGATACCGAGTTACGGTGGAGGCTCTCGAATCTGCTCCTGGTAGGGGCGCTCGAACTCACCTTATGCGGTTGTTAATGTAAATTCGTTGAGTCAAACCTTTTCCGTGCAAGTGCACGGCAACCCCATTGCAGTTTTGTAAACAAACAAAGTAAAGTAGCTACTGCCAAATTTAGCTGAAGTAAGATCTTTATCCTATATACATGTCATTTTTCAAAAAACGATAAGAGCAACGAAGTTCGAAGGGCTCTCGGCTTCACTCCAGGTAAAGCGTACACATGCCTACTCGTTGTGTAGTTGTTACGGACTCTTCGAGTCAAAGCTCCTACCATGCCAGTTGCACGGCAACCCCGGCGCATCATTGACCAACTTGCTGCTGATTGTTGTTGCATCCTAACAGAGAAAACATTTTTCACGACAAGCTACCGATTGTAACGGAATCGCCGTGAATCTTGCATAGAATAGGTTTAGACGCAAAAATTCCGAATATACAAAGCACAGAGGTTGTGCTCGAATGCTTTACCCAGAAGCGAAACTGTAACGGGGCAAGACTGCAATCTTGTGTAATTAACCTATACGTTTGTATTGATTACAATAAAGTTCATTTGTACAAAATTCGCATTGCACTTGGTGTAACTGTCGTTATCTATGTAGATAATCAAACTTTGCTTAGAATAAATTAATGAAAATGACAGAACTACGCGAAGGATACGTCTGTTGTACATATGGACTGCTAGCCGCAACGTTAAAAAAGAAATACAATTATACTATGAGAGGCAGTAAAACAAATATAAGAAGTGGCCGTTAAAAAATAAATTAAAGAGTTAGCCAAAAATGCCAATAAGCTAAGAGGCTAACGGTTTTGTTGCTGTGCGCTTGCAATGGAATATAAAGAACAAAGCTTTGTCTGTGCAAAGTGCATGGCACCCCACTTGCAGAATCGAGAACCTTTGATGTAATTAAGTACTAAGTTGATCTGCTTTCATTCATTTCAAAAAAAATTACTTTATCGATAATGAAACGCTTGGCGTGAGTGTAACAGTCCAAGTAATTGTTTGTTGGCAATTTTGAATTCTCACAAGTACATCAAAGTGTGAAGTGAATGTCGTACAATTGACCCGATGCTATAGTACGCACCCCGTTACAGATGCGATCACTAGGGCGATTGAAAATCTATATCGATGTATTAAAAGGATGTGCAAAATACAGATTGAAATGTCATGCGGATCATGTGGACGTTAGGGTCGTATAGTCATCTATGCAATTCACTTGAAGTGAAGACACCAAGCCCGATTATTTGTGAATATGAAGGAGATTATGGTTTTTCTTCTTACCAAGGCGCAATTGGCAGCAAGGGTGGTCAACTTGCCGGAGTACATCTGCGCGATGATGAGAGCGGTGGTCATGGGCATATAGAGGATGAGCGAATCTCACAAAAAAGATCAATTGCGTGCGAGCTAGATACACGAGCGGAGCAGAGAGTAAGAAGAATAAGGATTAAAAGAACGCAGGGCAACAGGAAAAAAACGAACAGAATAGCAACCAAAAGGGCAAGAATTAAATGGAATTTATTTGATTAGGTTGTGGTGACGAGGAGAGGCTGGGATGCGACGAATGAGGAGGAGCATTGAAGAAACTCTCTACTCCGGCATGGTAAACTTGAAGTGTTTCGCCCACTGACTCAGGCCAACTGGAACATTGCAATTGAGATGTAGTTGCATCATGTACGTCCGCGGAGTGAGCTGGCCGACATAGATGGCGATGTTATAGGTGGGTGGCAACGTTACTCAATGAATTCAAGCGTTGTTCAAGTGGAAGCCATAGTCTAGTAAATTCAGATTGGCAACTTTTATTCAGGTACCAGGCTAGCAGTTCGTCGAGCTTTTATACGGTGTTAATTGACAGCTTATGCTCAAGAATCTGTCGAACTGTCTGCTATGTTAGCGCTATCTATGGTTGACAAGTGAGCTCTTGCAGCAAAATTACAATGTCGATACCCAAAGCACAACATTTCGATTGTAATTCGGCTTAAATGACGCGAATTGGGTCTAGCATGTGTTGCAGCTTCTCTGTGTTCAGGTTGGTGAGCTAACCTTTTGCTATCACGCGAGTTAAAACTTATTCCTGTCAAATACAGAGAAACTTGAATAACACGAAGACAAAGCAAGCATGGAATCGAGCAGATTAAATTGCGCTATAGTCAAGAAGTCGAAGGCTTCAGCCTTAGATGCCTCCTGAACGATTGGGCTACTTTTGTGACTATGCCAGCGCGAACATTTTTACAGGGTAAAGTTCTTTTGGAAAGTGGCGTTGTCTCCACTCCGCCAGCACAACAAGGCCAGCCTGCTTAAAAATACTCCGATAGTAGACGGCTGAGCGCGTGATACTGCTGTCTTGTCGATCGATATCGTAGGGCTCAGCAGACTGAAATATGTTTTCTTTGACCACAATAAAACCATTCGGAGTAAGAGCCTTCTTACAGCGCTTTAGGTAGCGTACAAGATCGAGGTCAGTAAGATGCACCAGCACCCATTGCATCCAAATGAGGTCGTAACTAGCAGACGTCGGCTCGAAGTCCTGAAGTCCCATGCAATATAAATTTCTCACGCGAGCTAGAAGAATTTCATCTGCCCCTAAATACTGCTCTAATCCACGTAGAAGTCTTGGGCTTTGATCCACGAGATCAACGTGATTGAACATGGGCAACAGCAGCAATTTGCTTACTCGGCCGATCCCGGCGCCACAGTCTACCGCAGCATGACAGACCCACTCAGGTCTTAATGTGTCGCAAACAAATTGAAGAAATCGTTTGGACTCACTAATGTCGATTTCTGAAATGTGGGCAAAGCCACCTAGCACTCCGTTTTCTGAAAGGGGACAATTTTTCTCGTCATCCCAGTACTTATGAGCGTGAGCGTACCACACAAGCTCCTGCGGACTTTCCTCGCCAATTTCAGCCCGAAGTTCGACCTCCACGTTCCTCATTTCACTTGATATTCCTCCAAGCTCCGCTTGCCACATCGCGTAAACGCTCCTGTATAATTGTATTGTTATGAGAGTTAAAGATACAATGAAATTGACGCAATCAATGACACACACTCGAACTCGTGATGAGGCTCAATCATGCCGGAATCATCAAGATCCTGCTGTACTTTAGTGGAAATCGAGCGTAGCTCCTCCCATTCAATTGGCAAACAGCTGCATCGACACCGCGGCAGAATTAGGGACGTTGTTCCAACTTGGGAATCGTTGATGTCGAATGCACCAGAGGTCATTGCAACAAATATGTTAGTTGAAATGTGTGGGCTACATCAATTTTTGATTTGATAAAAATGTTTTGATAATCAAGATGTTCGAAAAAAAAGTCATTTGTTTCGAGCGTAACGTATAATATAGTTTATAAGAATAATCCATTACAGAGTCAATTATCGTCGGTATAAAGAGTGTAAGCAGTATTTGGACGGTTCTTGAAAAACATTTTTTCGCTTAGCGCTTACGCATTTAAATTGTGAAGTTTATTGTGTATGGCCTTTGTATAGCTCGGAGAGCCTATCTGAAAAGTACATCAAAGTTGAACACAAATTTGTGACTAAGAATATATCAAATAGCCCTTTTTAGATCCTGATATCGAAGGGGAAAAGGAGACGAATGTGAAGCTGATAGATAGCCTTAAGGTTAGTTTCTTTGAAAAGTAAGCGTGTCGTCTCTCCTGTATTTATCTGGATCTGTAATCATGATCTTCGCTAGTTTTATGTTTGCACTCTAACGTGAATTTCTATCTCGATTGCGTAAATTTCGTGATAAAAAATACAAATAATCGTCTATACTTAAAGTCAGTAACAATGACCCGACACCATAAAAGACGATCGAGGTCAAGCTCACGTTCTCGCTCTCCTTGCCGCCGCAGAGCATCATATCATACTTTAAGGGGTGATCACAACTCGCAAAAAACGACAACCCAATCCAATCTTTCTAGCACGCAGAAAACAACGTCTACGCAAATCATATCGAGCTCTATTCTGCCTGCTTTAGCACATCGTGAGGAGCTTTTAAAAGCTCTTAACGACCATCAAGTTGTTGTTTGTGTTGGTGAAACTGGCTCGGGTAAGACAACGCAACTTCCACAATATTTATACGCCAGCGGCACTTATACCTCCTCAAAAAGTGATGATGGACAGATATCTCAATGTATCGTCATCACTCAACCGAGACGAGTTGCGACGGTCTCTGTGGCTTATCGAGTTGCCGAGGAAATGAAGACGAAAGTTGGAGGGGATGGGTTAGTTGGCTATTCTATCAGATTTGAATCTCGCTGTAGTGATCATACAAAGCTCAAGTTCTTGACAGATGGAGTGCTGGTTCGTGAGTGTCTGAGTGACCCGTTGCTTACCAAATACAGTGTTGTAATGCTAGATGAAGCTCATGAGCGCAGCATTCACACCGACGTATTGCTTGGATTATTGAAGCAGGTAATTATGAAACGACCGGAGTTTCGGGTGCTGATAACGTCGGCGACATTGGATGCTGATAAGTTTGCAGCATTTTATAAAAATTCGGCAATCTCAAATGACAAGAAGACGAAAGTGATGAAGGATTGTCCAATCATTACGATCCCAGGACGAGTGTATCCTGTCGATATATTTCACTCGAAACAGCGTCAAATTATGGGACTTCGAGGTCCATTGTCAGCCTATGTACGTGCTGCTGTCGAGACAACCATTCAAGTGCATAATAGTGAGGAACCAGGACATATCTTGGTATTTCTGACCGGTCAGAAAGAAATTGAGGAAGCATGTGCTCAACTTCGAGCATTGTATCAAAGCCAAGAAAAGCGGAATGATGAGATGGAGTTGCGTGTACTACCTTTATATGGTGCTTTACAAGGTCAGAAACAACGAGAGATATTTGATTTTGTACCATTGGCAAGTGTTCGCAAAGTCATCGTCGCTACAAATATTGCTGAAACGTCATTAACGATCGATGGTGTACGATACGTGGTAGACTGTGGCTTTACGAAACAAAAAGTGTACAATCCAAAGCAACAGATGGAGTCGCTTGTAGTCGTACCTGTCTCAAAAGTGTCTGCACAGCAGCGAGCTGGACGAGCTGGCCGTACAGCACCCGGAAAGTGTTATCGCTTGTACGACAAAATGTCGTACGAGGAAATGGCCCAAGAGACAATACCGGAAATTCAACGGACAAATCTCGCCAATACCGTTTTGTATCTTAAACTTCTTGGTATCCAAGATGTATTGGGGTTTTCGTACCTCGACCCTCCCGACAAAGACTCGCTACTTGACGCATTAAAGCAGCTGTACGTGCTCGGAGCATTAGATGCCACGACTGGCGAAGCAACTTCTCTTGGTAAAGTCATGGCTGCTTTTCCGTTAGACCCAAAACTTTCACGTGCTCTTGTTGAGTCGTTGCGATTGAAGTGTAGTCAGGAAATGACGAAAGTAGTTGCGATGCTTTCTGTCGAGAATGTATTTCAAGACTCTTTTCATCACAGTAAAAAGCAGCAACTACATCGTGGAAAGGAAGACAAGGGTGATACAATTGACTGGGCACAGTGCATTTTAGCATTGCAAAGAGAAGGTCTCGTTCATAAAGATGGAGATCAGCTCACGTACCGACTATTACTCAATGCTTTCGAATCTGAATCGCGTCGAGTTCATGATCATCGCCGTAAGCTTGAATATTGGTGTCAAGATCGCCACCTTCGATTTCGTGCTCTAACGATGGCTAGATCAATTGTGACACAGCTCCGTTATATTATCACAAAGTTATCTCGACGTGATTTGGAGGCTATCATGGATGCCAGAATGGAGGATAAACAAGATATTTCAATAGACGATCGTCTTCGACAATCACTTTGTTCAGGGTTTTTTATGAATGCTGCAAGTCGATGTACTGTGGAGACTGTATACCGTTTACTGCATACTCATGACGATGACAATAAACTTGTCCAATTTCATCCACTTTCAGCAATGTGTTACGCTGCTGCACCTGAATTTTGTATATACCACGAGCTAGTCGTCACAAGTAAGCCATTCATGCGTGGCGCTTTAGCAGTTGAACGTCGGTGGCTAGATAAATATTGCAAAGACAAGCTTCACGTCTCAGAAGCACAGCTATATGCATTGTGTGGACGTAAGTCCTATGTTGTCGAACCAGATCAGTACCAGCAAGCTGAGCTTACGAAAGAAGTTGTGAATTCCGTACCTGTGACTTCTGATGTGACAGCTGATGCAATTGCTGCGGCACGTGCTCGATTCTTGGCTCGCACAAAACGCACAGAGTGAAAGCTTGTGTTATGAGTACAAAGGCAGCTTTGCTTGTTTTATTCTTCACTAAAATTCCATTAATACTCAAATTGTATACCCTTCCGTACCAGTCTTGCGTTCAGGAGATAAAGCTGCAAAATCTGAGAAAAATAAAACAAGGCGATATCTCCATATGCGACGTATAAATCTAAGTACACTACAAACGCCTGCACTTCCTCTTTCAACTTTTGTCCTTATTGTAGCGTACAATATCCTTGCGCATCAGATGCTTTTTTAACCTCGTTTAGACCCTGCTGCGTCTGTTGCATGCTCTCATGTACATGAGTTTCAATATCGTCGATAGCTCCTTGTTGGTCCTGTACAATTGTAGCTAAATCTCTAAAAATTTCATTCACTTGAGCGACACTTTGATGAATCTTGTTAATATCTTGCTCTCGTTCTTCGATCAACGCCTCATTGTGCGCAATTTCGTTTTCAAGCTCGGCAAACTCAAACACTTTCCCTTGATGTTCGGCTACAATACGACCATCGTGCTGTTGATCTTTAAGCGCCTGTTGTTGCTCTTGTTCACGAGCTGAAACTCGTAGCACGGCAGTTTCCAATTGATTCGAAATACTCTCAAAGTCTTTGCACAGCTTCCGCTTGATAAGCGAGTTGGCAGCATCAGCAGGTACACGGGATAGCGCTGTAGCAATCTCTTCTTGCAGCAAACATGCAAAGCGAATACGATCATGCAAGTCCTCGTCCACAGAGCCGATAGCAGTGGACGCACGCTTGATTGCAAGAACTTGGCGTTGAAATTGCTCAAGTTTTAAAGTCGCGCCCTCAATAGCTTGACGCGTATGAGCAGATTGATAATTAAATGATGTGGAGACATTGTGACCAGCTGCTACGGGAATCGTCCCAGTGGATGCGTAGTCTGCAAAGCTCATGAAGAAGGCAAGGGTCGTAGTTTTGGATGATTTGACTACAATGCAGCGTTTCTTCAAATGCTATTTCTGCAACGAAATATGTCTATTTTAACCCATTTTAACCGGTTGTGGGATTTAATTAGGGCTGGATCAAATTTATATACAAAGGTGTGGACTCTATTTAAGAAGCGTACAGACCAAGTCGTAGATGAAAATGTAGAGCAACGATCTACAATATCGTGTGCTCGTGATGCTTACTTAAGCACAAGCCTTGCTTGCAATCTGGAGGATCTAGATCTAAATAAGAAAAATAATTGTCTTCTCGCTTCGTAAGTTTGTGGAATAACATTATTGCGCTTTATGACGGGTCACACGGCACCTTGCACAGAGGAAGCTTGACTTCCAAGAGTATACAAA